TGTATTGAGAATGGATTGTGAGGCGAGATCTGAAGGCTAGGTAACGCTTGAGGATTGATGATCAGCGGTGGGAGAGGGGAGAGGGGAGTATTCATATGTGAGTATCATTCATGGACGCGTATCATCGGAGAAAAATGCGAAAGCAAAAGTGCAAAAGTATGATTCATATAGAGTATACGGAACGAAGTACAAGTGCGAATGCGAATGCGAGGTGCGAGTATGAGGAGGGGGAGGGGGAGGGGGTTGAGATGAGATGGGATGGGATGGGAATCATGGGATGCTATACAATGTAATATGGGATATACAATGAAATATGGGATGAGAAAATGGTACAGACTCCAGAGGATGTGTACCTACCTAGTGTGTTTGTTATATGGGGATTTGTGTACTCGTGAACAATGAACATGCAGAGTTGGAAACTCTGAATTGAACTTTGAAGGGGCCGGGAATTGTAGGTGAGAGAATGGATGGAGTACGATTAGTAAGGTACCTCGATAGGTTACTCTTTGGATTCTGATTCGTTTGTTCGTTTGTTGGTTCTTTCAATGGATCACTTGATCTGATCGTTTGCTCCATTGAAAAGAGAAGAGGAGGGGAGGAGGGGAGGAGAGAAGAAAGAGAAGAAAGAAGACAAAGAAAAGAAAAAGTTGGGTTTTCCTAGGCACCTAGGATGTTCACCGTATGTGATTATGTGATCCAAAAGTAACTGTTGGATTGGAGGTAAATATCTACCTAGTATGTTTGCGTGGTTTGGTTAGCAATGGTGTTGAATCATGTGAGCTGTGCCTCGTGATACGGTCTATGGATATGATAATCTCGACATCAAAAATCATGTTACATCTTACATCGAAATCTAGAATTGCTTAATACAGTAATAAGCAAGCCCTGCGTTAATCTTGTCAACCCTCATTGGTCCAAAATCGAAGGCAAAAGAAATGTGATGGAATGATGGGAATGTTAATTACCGAGGTGTACGGTATGGTATACCGGTGGTGAGAATTTATGATAATTATGTGTAAGTTGTAAGTTAATCTATGATGAGTCATCATCATCATTTACGGTAATTCCCCCTTGGGTCGGGGTATCGGGCCTTGTATCATGTATTGGCCGCGTCAATTGTGAGAGACTAAAGATGCTAGTGCAGATGCTAAAAAGCTTTGGGATTCCGGGGCTATGCAGATGCAGTAAAGTACCTCAGGTTTGGGAGGATAGGAGAGAAGACTAGCAGAAAGGACCCTGATTGAAGTGAAAGGCAAAGTGAAGTTTAATAAAAATTGGATGAGTTGATGAGTGTTGATTCGAATTTTAATTTTAATTTCAATCTCTCACATCCTCACTCTCTCACACATCTTCACTCTCTCACTCATCCTCACACACAACCAAACAAACAAACAAATAATTTCACCACTGCGTATACCCTTTCACTACTGCCTAATGTATATGGATTTTTAATTGTGAATACATACTCTTCCCCTGGTTTCACTATTGCATTGTTTCTTGTCACTTTCTTTTTTATTATATTCAATCCTTTCAACCTTTCTTCTTTTCTTCTTCTTCTACTTCTACTCCTACTTCTACTCCTACTTCTACTCCTACTTCTACTCCTACCAAGACTTCTCGTCATCACATGGCAGTTCTTCCGCTCTTTATTCTATCGCCATAATATATTTGCTTGGAGTTGAAGTGCGACGCCGAAGGAGAAGAAAGAAAAAAGGAGAGAAAGACTATTACACAAAGAACAAAACCATAAAACGAATAGAATTACGGATTCAATAATACCAAAACTTATCAGATGAAGGACAACTTGTATTAGGAATCAGAACAATAATCTCATCATGGGAATCAAAAATCAACTCTACAAGATGTCGCGATCATCATCCCCTCGATACGTCCCTCTCCCTCGCAATTCTCTCGATGCCAACGACTTTACATACGAATACAAAGATACTTCTGTTTCCTCGCGGCGAATAGCATCGAAACTACTACGAGCCTTGAGAAGGATCTGCAAACCTACATATATCTTCCTCTTCTTCATCCTATTTCTATGCTGGCAGGTCATCTTCAATGCCAGTTACACCAACCCTCCCAAATTCTCAATACCTAGCGATGAAAAGGTGTTTATCGCAGCGAACATTGTGGATCCGAATATGATAGATGGGCTTTGGGGTGACAATTTGGTTGCGCTGGTGAATGCGATTGGGAAGGAGAGGGTTTACGTCAGTGTATATGGAGGACCGAAAGATTCCTTGAAGAGATTGAGCGCGAGATTACATGGTGTGCACAAGAAAATCGTCGCAGAGTCAGATGATGTTATTGATCTTTCCACTTTACATCGCATTACTTTACCCAGCGGAGCGACGAGAGTGAAGAGAATTGAATATTTGGCTGATGTGAGGAATAAGGCTCTGGATCCCTTGACTTCTGGAGAGGTGAAGGAGAAGTACGAGAGAGTGCTTTTCTTGAATGATGTTATCTTTGAGGTGGAGGGTGCGATGAGATTATTGTGGGGGACAAATGTCAATGAAGAGGGAAAGGCGGAGTACAAGGCAGTTTGTGGTGCGGATTTTATCACGAGCTGGAAATACTATGATACATATGCGACAAGGGATACCGAGGGTTACAGTATCGGTGTACCAATCTTTCCATGGTTTGGGGGAAAGGGAGAGAGCACCAGTCGAAATGATGTTTTGGCTGGAAAGGATGCGGTCAGAGTTAAGAGTTGTTGGGGTGGTATTGTAGCTTTCGATGGGAGATTTTTTCAAAAGGAAATCGCAAAGTCGACCACGTCGAGTTCGAAGGAAAGCGAATCCAAAGACTCGGATCATATCTACGAACGTTCAACCTCGCTCGCAGAACTTCCGCTCAAATTCCGGTCCGAACCAGAATCTTTTTGGGATTCTTCTGAATGTTGTCTCATCCACGCTGATATCCTCGCAACACCCGATTTCCCAGATTATACTACAAATACCAATGAAGCTTGGGGTGAAGGAATTTTCATGAATCCGTTTGTGAGAGTGACATACGATGCGAAATCATTCAAATATATTAAGTATGCGAAGAGACTTGAAAGATTATTTACACCATGGCAAGCGATCATCAACCATTTTGCGCATCTTCCGCGATACAATGATCGGAGAATGGAGAATGAGGGAGATATTGTGGATGATAGATTATGGATACCCAATTCGTTTACACCAGAACAGGAGCAAGCCATGATTGATTTACAAAAGAATTTTGGTGGAAAGTATGGAAATGCTCCTAGTTCTACGGACAAGAAGAAGCAAGGAAAGCGAGACGTAGGCGATGAGGATTCTAGCTGGCAAGGTTTCGATTCTATTGAAGCATCATCTTCTTCATCATACTTCCCCGCGATAGTTGGAGGTCTCAGATCCCGTGCAAAGACCTCTCCACCATCGAGAATCATGCATGCGAAACGACAGATAACACCAAGTGATGGTGCGATAGCAAAGCCAAAGGGTTACTGGGAGAGAGAGGGACATTATGTGGATTATCAGAGGGTAGCCCGAAAAGGAGGATACTGCGGAGTAAGACAATTGACGATTTTGAGAGAGGGAGTTATTGGAATTGGAGAAAAGGGATGGGTTAATCTAAGAGGAGAGGTACCGCCTAGGGAAGCTAATGCGACGAGGCTATAAATTCAGACTTTCTGTTTGAATGAATGGAAAAAAGAATGAAAGGAGGAGGAGTTCCGATTGATTGATTGATGAGTTGAAGATAAACCATTTTGTTGTTGTTTTGGCGAATAAACCGCGTGCGCTATGCTATGTATTGGGATATAAAATAGATCGATTGGCTTTAACCCCTTTGACAGATAGCTGTCGGGAATGATGGGAGTAGGGCGTTGGAGAGTTTTGTCTTGTTTTGTCTTTTTTGGTGGATGATTGGATGGATATGGATATATCTGATACCTACCACCGACCTATCCGTGGATATATAAAGGATAGGGGTTTCTTGTGGATACTAGATAGGATTTGCTATCTTGATTTTTGGGGAAGAAGGGAGGGATGAGATGAGATAGGATGAGACGGGGTAAGATAGGATGAGATGGATAGGGAAATTATACTCTTTTAATATTGTGTGTTTTTTTTAGGAGTGGTAATGTGATGTGTTGTGATGATGTGTTGTGATGATGTGTTGTGATGATGTGTTGTGATGATGTGTTGTGATGATGTGATGATGTGATGTAATATGAGGATGTGAATGTGAATGTGAATGTGAATGTGAGGAGGGAGGAGAGGGAAGAGAGGAGAGGAGAGGAGAGGAGAGGAGAGGAGAGGGAGTAAGAATGTGAGAATGCGGAGGAAATACTTGGGATTAGATTGTATTCACTTGCACACTTGTGCTTATTTATCTACTTTGGTATTTGTGCTTTTTGCAGTAGAGAATTCGATGGGATGGGATGGAGATGATAGAGTGCTTCGCAACGACTCGCAGAAATGAGGAAACTAAGCAAGTGGATAGGGAAGTAGAACAAGCCTACGAAATTCGAAGCAAAGTCGAGGGAGAAATACTTCTCTCAGGTTGAATAGGTTAGATGGAACTTTCAAGTTCATTGATTACTAGATATACACTGCCTCATTCGGCAGTTGATTGATTGAGTAGATGGTTCTACGAAGTCATCTCCTGGATACCGACTCGGTCGGTAGGCTTACGGGCTTCCCTTGGATGGAAAATCGTATTTTGAGATTATGCGATTCGAGATTGTGCTTTGGGATCGCGCAGGCTGGATCGTAGATTCGGAGTACTGGGTAACTTTCCTGTTGGATTTCTGGTTTCTCTCTGTTGTTATGTTTGGTGCTGAGGTGGGATTTTCCTCCTGTTGTTTGTGTTGATGTTGATGTTGATGTTATTGTTGATATGAATATTGATATGAATATGAATAGGGGCCGATATGGATTGAATATAGATATAGATATAGATGTAGATATAGATATCACGTGCCCAAAGCACGTCAAGCCATCAGATCATCACGTCAACATCCGCAAGCGAAACAATGTACGCGGACGAACCCCACCATTCGGGAAGTTGGACGGGAAATACATGGGAAATGGATATGGATTTTGAATGGTTGGTTGGGGTGAGAGATCAGTGAGGGAGCAACGAATCAGTCGTGTGGATTTGGGGGGTGCGTAGGAATCTTTCTTGAGATGGATGGGATGGGTTGGAATGGGGGTTTGGGTGTGAGGGAGAGGAGTTTTGGTGAGGGATTGAGAGACTTGAGATGAGAGGCATGGGTTGATCGTGCTGTTGTATAGATATTTGCATGTGTACCTATATCATGCAAGTGCATGCTTGATACATTTTAGAGGAGAGAAAAGATGGGGAGATGGTTGGGGGAGGGTTTTTTTTGGGATAGTTGTATATATAGTTGAGTCATGGACGGATATTGCATGGTTTTTCTGGGGTGATTTAATTCTTTTTCATGGTTTGAGACGTGGTTGTCTATGCGAAATTGTAATTTGTGCTTTGGAGAGAATTTGGAAGCAAGCAAGCAAGCAAGAAGAATTGAACAATATGGATGCTCAAGAGATATACCATGGGCCATTCAAAACAACGGGTGATGAAGAAGTCGCAGCTATAAGTGTCGAAGGGAATATACAGCCCGATTAGACAGAAGAGGAAGAACGGTTGGCTAAGAGGAAGTAAGTGATATCCTCTCCATGTGAACATCGAGCGCTGATTTTTTATTCTCATACATCTCCAGAACTGAGAGACTGACAATATATCCAGAATCGATTTCATTCTCCTCCCTCTTCTTGGACTTGCATTTTTTTGCTCTGCAATTAGATAGAGGGAATATCGAAAATGCGTTGACGAGTACTGTTACCACGGACTTGGGAGTTACGACGAATCAGATTAATGTAAGATCGAATGTTTTATCCGCGGGAATTGTGATCTTGAAGATTCCTAGTAATATTTTATTGTAGAGGGTATGTTGCTTTTCTTGGGGAGAGCTACTCTCCAATTCTTCAAAAACAGATAACTAAAGTATTACTAGATCGGGATATGGTATTGCGGGGTGGACATGGTTATTATCAGTAAGTTTTGTCTTTTGTTTTTGTTTTCCAGCTCGCGATGCGATGTATTGACTTGCTCTCGCAAAATAGTCGAGGGATTGATAACCATCGGAATCGGTTGTATTTTCATTCTCTTTCTCCCTCCTAGTGTTGCAAATGGCTCTCCGCTTATCAGCGCCGGTAAATGGAGTTACTTTACTCCCCGTGAACAATACATTCTCGTGCGACGAATCCTCCTCGATGATCCTGCCAAAACTACTCGACATCTTCGGATCACCGGGAGAGAAGTGTTGAAAACGATCAGGAAACCGAGGGTATTGGTTCATAACCTCATTACGTTAACATCTACAATATCTGTTAGTGCAGTACAAGGCTATGGTCCTTCGATCATCAAGAGTCTAGGTTTCAAAACTGTACGAGCAAATGCTATGGCATCGGTTGGAAATCACATCGCAGCGTTTGTGGTGGTGATTCTTGGATGCGTCGCGTTAGTATTACTCTTCTAGCTATATGGCATCTCAAACTAACCATCTTCATTCCAGAGATAAAACAGGACGTCGTGGCCCTGCAGTCGTTTTCGGCGCTGCTTGGTGCGTAATTGCCTACGCTTGCTTACGCATTTCCATTGGAGAAAGTAAATGGCATCGCTATGCTGCAGTTTTGTTTTTCATGGCTACGGATTCAAATGTTCAGTTGCTTATTCCTGCCTTTACTATCCCTTGCTCAAATTTACCTAAACATAACTAACTCCTTCTAGCATCCCCAACGTCTCCTGGCTCTCCATTAACTGTAAATCACCCAAAGAACGTAGCATAGCCATGGCGATGATCATCATGGCCGCCAATCTAGCGGCGATTGCAGGATCGCAAGTCTTCCGCACAGCGGATGCCCCGCTGTATACGCATGCGTTTACGGCTATGTATATACTCGCTGCAGCGACGTTTGTCATTGTGGTGGGTTTGATGGGGTGGTATGTTTTTGCGAATAGGAGGTTGGGGAAGAAACCGGAGGTGGTGCAGGGAGGGTTGAAGATGGAGGGGGAGAGTGGGGAGGAAGGGAGTTTGGAGGTGGTGAAGAGATGTTGGTGGACTTGGTGAGGTGGGGTGAGGGGAAGAGATGGAATGGAGGGGGGGGTGGAGGGGTTATTCTTGAATTAATGTATTTGCGGTGGTGAGGATGTTATTGGATTTAGTGAATGAATGAACCAATGACACAAGTTACTGAATTGTTGTCTTGATACACATCCGCCGAGAAATTCTGCGGACTGTTTAGTGACTCGTGATTCCTAGTCTGCACAATCTCCTCTCCTACATAGATGAGACAGATTGGAAGAAAGAAAATTAGGAAAGACTTTGATCTGAACATTTCATGAGAGGAGGGAAGCGGTAAAATGGAAAAATGCTATAGGATGGGAGCTTGCATTCTATACTAAGAGCCTGCAACTTGTGATAATGCTGGAGTTGAAACATACATGTTATATTCGATATACGGAAAAAAAGGAATGGAAAGCTTTAATTTACAGTGCTTCCTCTGGTAGTATCAACTCTACTAAGAATGATTTCTTTCTTGCTCGAGAAGCTTATGTTGTAGATACAAAACAAGATCCTATATCAATTTTACCCCACCTCGGGATCGACATCTATCTACACAACACAAGTCACAAAGCAAACGAAAAGTAAAGACATACAAAAACAAATATTTCACATCCTCCTCCCTCTCAACTTGAAAACAATGTCCTTCTCCTTCCTCAACAAAACCATCCTCATCACCGGCGCCGGAAGCGGCATCGGTCGCGCCACCGCCATCAAATTAGCTTCTCTAGGAGCCTCTCTCTACCTCTCCGACATAAACCTCGACTCCGTCTCCAAAACCCGAGACCTATGTCCGCATCTCGAATCCTCCAACCAGCAATTCCACACCCATTCTCTAGACGTCAGTGATTCCCAATCCTGTAATACATATATCCACGATCTGGTTCGCGAAGACATCACGATAAATCACGTGTTTAATTGCGCGGGGATTAATCCCACCGCGGTACCGATTCAGGATGTGACGGATGAGTATTGGGACCGGCTGATGAATGTTAATCTGAAAGGGACTTTTAATATTACCCGAGCTGTTGCACCGCATCTCGTCTCGGGTTCTTCATTCGTAAATGTATCATCGGTTTGTGGTATCGTTCCCGTCTCGCAGTTTTCGGTCTACTGCGCGACGAAGTATGCGGTGGTCGGATTCTCGAAGTGTATGGCGTTGGAGTTGGGGGGTAGGGGGGTCAGAACGAATGTGGTGGCGCCGGGGTATATTGATACCCCGACCAATGTGTCGGTGCTAGCGGGAGAGGAGGAGGTGAGGAGGATGGAGGGGATGGTGGCGTGTGGAAGGTTTGGAGTGCCCGAGGAGGTCGCGGATGTGGTGGCTTTTTTGATGAGTGACGAGGCGAGGTTTGTTAATGGGAGTGTGGTGGAGGTTAATGGGGGGATGGCTCATTGAGGAGGTGGCTTGGAAGAGGAGTGTGGGTTTTGCTTGGGATGGCGGGTATGTGACCGCATTGTGATTGGATTGTGGTGTGTGATCATTAGCTTCTGGGGAGCTTTAGGGAAGATATGGAGGTAGGAATTATCTCGAGAAGATATTGCTAGGAATGAGTGCTAGAGATGAGATTATACCCACAACTTGGTTGAAGACTCACCAAGGGGATTGGAGGGGAAATCAATAGCTCCTAATCACATCATGTGGGATGGTTAAGCAATTCCACTTTTAGAAAGGTTATAAATGCCTAACATCAGATGGTCTTCCAGACTATCTATGACATCCCGTTGTAATTCCGGATAACAGTCTGATGATTTGGGAGAGCATGACATGGAATGTTACTACTTCGTAAATCGAAATGTGTGTGACCAGCCCTTAAAATTGGACGATACTGCATGATATTTAATATACTCTCATATTATCATAGATTTGGATCTGAAAATGTGTGGTTAGATATCGTTAATAACCTAAACCTTCTAGATAGATAGCAGAAGGATTGCTGAAAAAACTAGATGAGATACTTTTGAAGACCTACATTTGGAAGAAGTTTGGCTAATCAAAGGTTAAGAATTGAGACGAAGATGGGGTTGTTAGTAAACCAGATTCGGAAAATAGAAACACATAATCTGGTCTACAAACAAGACATCGCTAATTCTTCGGGTCTTTTACAGACCGGATATTAGATTGAACTTGAGCTATTCGGCTGAGATGGAAGGTTAATTTATATGCTCGACTTTCCCGTCTTACTCCACATCCCGTACATACCATGTGGACCTTTCCGTTTTCTTGAGATGTGTATCCACCCAATCGCTACACCAACTAATCAACATGTCCCCTTCTATCCACACAGTGGAAGCTGCATTTTCCATATTATTCAATAATATGATATTAAAAAAGCCATTATTTTCATCAAATAGAGCAAACATCCAAGTCCCTGACTTCGATCTAAAGCTTCTGTGGTCCAATGGTTAGGATTCCACCCTTCCAAGGTGGAGGTTCGTGTTCGATTCACGGCAGTTGCAATCTCTTTTTGTCTTTTATTCCAGGTATGTACTGATTCGTTCGATCGATATTCTCCGGATGCATTTGTTTTTAATCTCGCTACTTATTTAGGGGGATTAGTTTTTGGATACAAATTATTTGCCTGATTTTTCGGATGCTTTTGGTCCTCCTTTACTAATTGCGTGTGAGGTATTTTGGTGTTTACATTGCGTAAGTAAGTAATTGTATCACGGTGGTGGGATGAATGATTTTCAAAGCATGAGATGTCTTATTTTATAACTTTTTAACGAAGTTGATGAGACACAAAAGCTTTTTACTATTTTCAAATTTTCTCAGGTCTGTTGCTAGGCAGATATGTACGACACAAGAATATTGTGATGACTAATCGGTTGCGTTCTTACAAACCCACACTACCTATCCCCTAGACCGCCATTATATGACGCCTCGCTTAACAGGGATCTTAGTGACCAATCAGAACATCAGGATTCTGAGAATTCTCATGATATTAGGATTATATTCATAATAACTATTGAAACACCTATTATTATTATATAAAGAAATATCATATTCTTTACATCCTTATTTGTTCTTATATCTTACTCCTTTTTATCTAAAATTAATAGACTTCTTTCTCAATATAACCCTTTTTATCCTATAAAACTATTCCTTATAAGTATAATAATCCTTTTTACTCTTTAATCATATGAAATAATGATTTTGAAAAGGGTTATAAACCTCAATTGAGATTGGTCAAATCTATTTTATATATTTAAAATAATATTTGAGCTTAAATTCAATAATCAATTTATTAATAAAAGATTTTCGAAAATCATTATACTTAAGAGATTTGATTATAAAATACTTTAATATAATTTCTTTATAAATCAAATAACAATTGATTAAAACAATAACAAAAAGTCATTATTCTAAAGCTTAATAATCATTATATTGTTATTATCAATACTCTGACATAAACGTATATAATTGATTCTTTATATTATTAATATTTATATGATAATTATAATTATTAAAAAGAATTGGAATAGGTAATTCTTTCTTGTGTTCATTTCTAAATAATAATTAAGCTATTTTAATTTTCAAAAAGGTAATTTTCGATCTTTTATATATCCTATTAATAAAAGTTTTTTCATTATAAATTATAAATTATATTAAAATTATTACATTATTCTTTCACACTACAAAATATATATTATTTAAGAATGATATCTTAAAATAAACTGTTCTTTATAATATCTTATTATCTTTAATATTTTAAATCTTTAAATTAATTAGATCTTTATAAATACTGAAATTAGACCTATATATTGTTACGGGAGCTGCCTCTAGGGTCACGTGGAAGTGTCTAGAGATCTCTCGAGATGGTTTAAACTAAACTTCAAGTAGGAATTCAATAAGGTTGTAACTGGTTGCAATTCTCGTAACTATAGTAATGAAACTAATGATTGTTCTTGAGCACGAAGCTCTACATTGTAATGAAATCCCATTCCCTTATATAGATCTTCGTACTCTGATGTTGGTTGGAGTTTCTTGGAGTCCTGGCTCCCAAGGACCTCCTTGGAGCCCTGGCTCCTGGGGACTCCACCACGTGACACTTGTCACATGGCATTCTGTTACCCATCGTAACATATATCCCTATTATAGTATATTCTGAATAATATATGTACTTTAAAAAGTTATAAGAAACAAATAGATTATTAATATAAATATGATATAATATTTTAGATAATCTTTGTACTAAGTATAGAATTATTATTTGTATAGAATTTATACGTTTTTCATTTACTATTAATTCTAAAAGAGGGGGTATAATTATACCCATAGAACTATTCTTTTTATCAATCTTATACCAATTCCACATTATAAAGAAGCCTTGATTTACCATTATTTATATTTTAAATCCTATAGATATAGATTTATTTTTAATAGTAGTAATAAAACTTAATCGGTTAAAATATTGAGCTATACTTTCATCAATTAATATTCGATCCTGAAACATTTATATTGAAAAATTGATACTTTGAATATAATCTAATAATAGATCTATTTATAAATAAGCATATTAATATATAAAATTCGAATTGATAGAATAATATTTTACTTTTTTGTAAATATCACTTATTTCAGGGGGTTTAATATAATACCTTATATAAAACTCTTCGAATTTATTCTTTAATATAAAACATATAAAAGGATGTACATTAATATTCTTACTATATTCCCAATAGGTTTCAAACTTAAATTCATTATGAACTAATATATATATGTCTAAATATAAATAAACCTTATCTATTATTATAAAATACTATCGAAATACTTATAAATTTAAAAGTTTTTTATTTTTCAATATTTATACATATGAATTCGTTCATTCTACTATTGATTTTATTATTTTAATAAAAAAATAAATATAAAATAAATTGAATACATTATATTCTTAAATATTAGCTTATAGAATAAGTTTTCAATCGAAATCGATAAAATTCATAGATTCGAAAAAACTTTCTACTTTCAAAATAAAGAGGATATTTAAGTGTAATATTCTTGTATCTGTGAGATCAAATTCTATATCAATTGAAATCATATTAATGGAATTATTACGTATCACATATTTATTGATTTCCTTATTATCAATATTATTTACAAAGATATTAATAGTCTTATTTAATGCACGGACCACCCAGGCGTCATATAATGGCGGTCTAGGGGATAGGGGCATAAACACTATCAATTTTCTACAACTACGCGAGACAACATGGTTTCCTTGTAGACTTTTAATACATTACAGAATCTTTTTCCCTCTAAATATAAGCTTGTAATGGAGACACAGCATGGATTACCTTTGAAAGTTTTTAGGGGATCTGTGGGAAAAAAGGCAGCTAATTTCCTCACACTTCCGTCTAACTCCTTCATCGATGAATGAATACGCGAAAGAATGATGGTAAGCGTAATATCATTTGATATTGTTTTGTATTCGAAGCTGCGAAAGATCCTAAATCATAACATGAATGGAATTCTGCAGAGATTGGTAAGAACTCTTTTGACTCAATGAGGAATATGGTGGAGATGCGATGAAACTTCTCCAGATCTATTTACGGTGTCTGGATTGCAAAGTTGCGATGTCGATACCTCGAGACAACTAGGAGATAGCTTCTTTGACTTTTAATAACGAATGTTTCTTCTTGGTTGGCTAGCCATACTGCTCTATTTTAATATCTGAAGTTGTTTTGGAAGATTAAGTGGGTCGGTTGGTTTCTGGAATTTTGAGATTGACTTTGATATGATGGAGAGCTTCATGCTAAGCTTTAATGATTGCTTGAGTAGTCGAAGAACGCGCAAGATCACTCGAGCTAAGAGACCTCATTGTGTCGGTTTCAAGATCTGGACTTAGAGATATCAATAGAATAGATTGCCGTAGTATAGTCTGTATTGCAATTCTTTTGTGTTTGATGCTCAGTACACTTTCAAAATGTTACCCCTTTTGCTTGGGTGGATAGTCCAGTACGCTCTCTATTCCTTGCTTCAAATCAACGAATTATACAAGCCTGCCTCATAGAGCATAGAGGATAGAGTATGGGACTGCAACCGCCACTCATCTCAATTCACCATATGTTGCCTACTGTTCAGTATTCACAAAAGATCTCCATACTTTCTCCCATTATCCAGATACCTATAGCTCCGAGGTAAACTCTCTCAACATCAATGTTCGAAAAAGTGACAACCTCTGTCTCCACATGGACTCCTACTCGGCATCCTCTGGTCCTCAATGCTTGATTTCTGTCGTCATATTTGTGGACCTGAATGTCGTAATCGACCATGGCCATTGCTAGGCGCGCTACGACATATGGAGTGTCTGTGTTAAAGTTTGTTTGTTGTCACAGTTTTAGCGGCTATATCATTATTTTTGTATAGCACGAATTGTTTTCGATGATTGTTTCTCC